TTTCTCTTTTTCTTTCTTTCTCTCTTTCTCTTTTTCTTTCTCTTTCTTTCTCTCTTTCTCTTTCTCTTTCTTTCTCTTTTTCTTTCTTTCTTTCTCTCTCTTTCACTTTCTCTCTTTCTTTCTTTCTTTTTCTTTCTTTATTACTTCCTTCCTTCCCTTTCTCCTGTTTTCCTTCCTTTCTTCTACTCATCCCCTTCCTTCCTTCCTTCCTTCCTTCCTTCCTTCCTTCCTTCCTTCCTTCCTTCCTTCCTTCCCTTTCTCCTGTTTTCCTTCCTTTCTTCTACTCACCCCCTTCCTTCCTTTCTCTATTTTCCATCTATCATTTCTTTCTCTCATTTCTCTACATACCTACTATCACCCTCCCTCCTTCCCTCCCATTTTCCTTCCTTCCTTCTACTCATCCCCTTCCTTCCTTCCTCCTCGTTTTCCTTCCCTTCCTTCCTTCCCTTTCTCCTCCTGTTTTCCTTCCTTCCTTCTACTCATCCCCTCCCTCCCTCCCTCCCTCCCTCCCTCTTTTGTTATAACCTTGAATAATATTATTTCGGGGGGGGGGGGAAGAAATCCAGGCCATGGTCCCAGATCCGCAATCTCTCCTGGCTCTGCAACGTCCATCCTCTTCCTCTTGTGCCTGGGAGGATCAGGAGGGGACCTTCGCGGGGAGGATGGGACATTAATGGTCTCAGGGGGGGCCTCCCCGAGCCTTGACCAAACGGGCCGCCTGAATGGCTTGGGGGAGTCCTGGGCCCCCTCTGAGGGCCGCTCTCTTCTTTCTCTCCGCAGCCGCCGATCATGAGGAGCAGAGCCGAGGCGTGGAGGGGAGGCCCCGGTCACTGGCGGCCTTGAACCGCAGCAGCTGCAGCCGGCGCCCCAGGCGGGAGGCCCCTCCCCCGGGGGCCGCCCCCCCCCCCCCCCGCCCCTCGCCCCACCCGATGCGCCGCCTGCCCCCGGGGCCCTTCAGGAACCCTCTTGGGAAGGAGGCCGGACTCTCTTTGGAGACGCTTCCGACCGGGCCTGCCGGAGAAGGCGAAGAAGCCGCCGCCTGGGCAGGGACACCATGGAGGACTTCACCACCAGGACCTACGGGACCAGAGGCTTGGATAACCGGCCTCTTTTCGGAGAGACGTCGCCGAGGGTAATGGGGAAGGAGCTGCTCTCGCTCTCTGGGCAACCATAAAATATTTTTTTGGGGGGAAACATGGCTTCCAGCTCCCAGAACCCCCCAGCCAGGAAGCCTGGGAGTTGGACGCTTCCTGACGGTCGGAGCAATGAATCGGTGGAGCGGAAGTTGCCTCCAGCCGTTGTGGATGCTCCAACAGTGGAGGTTTCTAAGAAGAGGTCGGGGAACCATCGGTCTGAAGTTGGTGCAGGGTTTCCTGCCCAGGCAGGGGGCTGGACTAGAAGACCTCCAAGGCCCCTTCCAACTCTGTGATTCTAACTCTGCCCGTCTTAAAGATGGGTCTGTGGCCCTCCAGGGAAGGACTTGCAGTCTATCCCAGGGGTCTCCAACCTTGGCCACTTGAAGCCTTGGAGGACTTCAATTCCCAGAATTCCCCAGCCAGCTTTGCAGAGGGCTGCGGTCGTCCTGGGGTGGGGTGGGGGCTTTGTGCCCCTTTGCCAAAATGGCAGCTTCTGCTCCGCTTTGTGACAATGGAGGTTGCGTTTAGGATGAGCCTTGACAGAGTTTTCCAAGCACGCTGGGCCTCAGGCACGTGGGCGGGTGAGCCTTTCTTGGGAGTGTGATGGAGCAATGCTGTGATTGTGTAACACACACACACAACGGCAGGCCTTTAGCCTTGAAAGCCCTGGCTGACTCCGTTTGGGGTCCCCTCCTAGAAAGAGCTCTTTTGCATTGCACAATCTCTTAGTTGGGAGAGATCAAAGGGTGGCATGTCCTTGGGTTTAACGGGATTATTTCAAAAAACTTTCCAAGATGATGATGATGATGATATTATTATTATTATTATTATTATTATTATTATTATTATTATTATTA